CACATGCAAAAACACCATCGACTATACATGGAATTAATAATTATATATGCATTATTACACAATATAAGTACTTCCACCTGGCTAAAAGCAAGCTCAGATGCGCGACTCCATCGCACGCGTGTATCCGCACTGGAATGCATCCATTCCCTTATACGGGTGCGTGTTAATTATCACGACAGAACGGCGTTGTTGCCACGAATAAAGCCAATACTTCAATGCCACGTTCTTAGTTCAATATAACTATATTTTTAACTTTTGTATGCTACCATATAATTGGATTTTATGGGTATTTTATCGTAAGCTACAACACTGTGAGAAGTGTGATGTAAAATCCATATCTGTCATCGAATACACGCATAGACGTGTGCGCGTGCACACACGTACGCACGCACCCTCGCACGCACACATACGCACGCACCCACGCACCCACACACTCACCTACACACGCACACACGTACGCACGCACCCTCGCACGCACACATACGCACGCACCCACGCACCCACGCACTCACCTACACACGCACACACGTACGCACGCACCCACGCACGCACGCACGCACGCACGCACGCGCGCACACACACGCACATTAAAAGAGAGAGTTTGCTCATCTTAGAAGTCATTTTCTAATCCGCAATGATATTCAATAACTTTATCAATACTCAGATATCTTCCGGGAATGTATGCTTTCGGACTGTGTGAAACCGACCATTGCGCTGACGCGGAGAAAACAGCAAAGAAGGTAAACGTTCATAACCAAATCGAAATCAATAATAGCGATCGACTCTAACTGTTATTACTACCGTACGCTGGGTTTCATATTTCGATCAAGAAGCGATTTTACGTGTCCCCCATCGTGTTCCTATCCCGTTGCATCGTAGTGATGCTCGTAGTACACCTTTATTACGCGTACAATCCGCCCAATATTATGTTATGAATTGCTACGTCATTATGGCGCATGTCTACCACCACGAAAACATGTATTCATTCTATTTCTCGGCAACCTGGTAGTTTAACAGCACCATGGGCTAACACATTGTCGCCAAACTCACAGCATCATGGGCTAACACATTGTCGCCAAACTCACAGCATCATGGGCTAACACATTGTCGCCAAACTCACAGCATCATGGGCGAACACATTGTCGCCAAACTTACAAAATGCACTATATGCGCGCGTTTATACTGTCCCGGGTCGTGTAGGCTACGTTCAGATTTTCACATTGACCACACAATTTTAATCGGACCATGCTCGACTCTATCCCATCACAGTAATAAGAATATCACAATTATAATAAATGACAGGGCCTGCAGTTGATTCCTAAGGATGGGTTGGCGACGCATGCGTTGACTTGATCATGGCGATTGATAGCACTCAGATCATGGTAATATTATGTAGATGTATCAATCGACAGGGCCTGGAGTTGATTCCTAAGGACGGGTGGGCGACGCATGCGTTGGCTCACGTCTATGAGATTCAAGGAAGGAGCCAGGAAGGCATCTCGTTCCTGAGCAGAACTCTCGACAACTGGACGGTAAATGTTCACGACTAGCTATATATCGTACTCACGGGGCAATAAATACTGTTAATTTTACTGTTGCTCAGTCACATTATTTCTCCGACCAACAACGTTGAGAAGACGGCAGTATATGGCAAAGCATCGGGCGCTGTGAAAATTCGTGGTTCGCATTTTACGACTCTCTAGATGTGTGAGAAAATGTATCAGTTGAATTGACTCAGCGACTTACTGTTTTATTGAATAGGACCATGCAGGCCATGTGGATTCGGCGTATTGATTTAGTTTTTGTGAAACTTGGGCTGTGTTTACGTTTTCAGACAGCAAGCAGCGTAACTTCTGGCATTGGGCCGTTTATCACATCGAGAGGGTATGTCGCCTTGTTCTAGACTATAACCGCCATATTATATGTTAGTTATATTTCAGAAAAAAAGTAAAAAAAAATTGCTTTTCCAGTAAATATGTAATCGACTGCCTTTAAAATGAACGAGCCGCCTGTTCGCTATAAGGATTAGTCAACATGTTGAGGTGAGTATTTTAGCTAATATATACTTAATCAAAATAAAATATATTCGATAATTCTTGCCCGATAGAAACTTTCCTAGCATCGCCGCAGATACGAAACTCGGACCGTATGTGTACTGGCTGAGGAAAACCGATTAGATTAACAATAACAATAGTTTAATATTTTGTACGCAATATTATGCGTCCGCAACTAATGTATTGTGCGCGGTGCCATTTGATGTCGAGAACCGCTTAGATTAACACTAACTATTTAGTTTAATATTTTGTATGTAATATTATCAGGAGTGTATAACATAGAGATTATGATAACTCTCTATACTGTACACTCGTGATATTATACTTCCGTAAGTAACATATATATTGTTCGCGGTGATATTTGATGTGTAGTAAAAATGCGAATAGGCGCACGTAACGCCCATGCGGCGATGCATGGTGGCAGCGTGATGGCATGGTGGCGATGTGTTGGCGGCAATATTTTGGACCAAGCGGAAGGATAAGAACCACTGAATTATGATGGGTTACGGAGTACAATTTACCATTAATCATTATCACATGTCGGTGATCATATAATTCAGGTACGTAATTGTTTTTTTACAGGGCGAACACACGGCAGCGCTAGATGTGTTTTACTCTCAGGTACACGATGGAATTAAGCATAGATATGAGTACGCGATGCGTGAAATGGTTCGTTATCGAGCGAGTTTCACATGGTAGCCATTTTGTTGAGCGATTGTCTAGAAATTTCCCAGCATACTGATACTAACTATAAATACGAATAGTGCACCAACCTCATTACATCGTTAATTACAGTAAATATACGTTAAAGTAAAGTTACATCGTTTGAAACTATACGTATATGTTATTACGATTTTGTTTGTTATAGATTGCGTCGCGGGTAAGAACTAGTGGGGCCATGTGGGATGTCGTCGACGCCTGTTCCATGCTGTACCGACTGGAAATGGAAGGTAAACTCACTATACATTGCCGGCCCAATAACAGGTGGCCAATAGCCTGAATAAACCCCTGAGATTACATACAGTGAAGATCATTGAAAATGTAATGTTAATTATAACGATAAATATAAACAAGGGAACAAATAATTAACTAACAAACTAACTAACTAACTAGCTAAGTAACTGGACCGAGCGACCGAGCGACCGAGCGACCGAGCTTGTGTGTGTGTGCGGTGCGTGTGTGTGCGTGCGCGTTCGCGTGTGCGTATGTGTGTGCATGTGCGTTTAGATAAGCGTATACGCGCGAACACACGCACACTGCTTTGCGTACGTGCGTGCCTACGTGTGTGTGGCTGTGTGTATGTGTGGGCCTGTGTGTGTATGTGTATGTATATATGTATAATTATATATATATATAATGTATATATATATATATATATTGTGTCTGTGTGCGCGTGTGTGTGCGCGCGTTTGTGCGTGCATGTGTGTTGTGTGTGTGCCTGTGTGTGCGTGCGCATGTGTGTGTTGTGTGTGTGCGTGCGTGCGTGCGTGCTTGCGTGCTGGCGTGCGTCGTGCGTGCGTGTGCGCGTGCGTGTGTGTGTGTTCATGCGCATTTGTGCGTGTGTGTGTTGTGTGTTGCGCGCCGCGGGTGTGTGTGTGTGTGTCTGTGTGTGTGTGTGTGTGTGTGTGCTGTGTGTGTGTGTGTGTGCGTATTTGTGTGTATGTGTGTGTGTGTGTGTGTGTGTGTGTTGTGTGTGTGTGCGTGCGTGTGTGTGCGAGCGCACATCTGCGTACGTGTGCGTGTGTGTGTGCGCGTGTGTGTGTGTGAGTGTTGTGTGTCGTTTGTGTGTGCCTATGCGTGTGCGTGTGCGGTGTGGGTGTGCGTGGTGCGTGTGCGTGTGCCGTGTGCGTGCGCGTGCGCGTGTGTGTGCGTGTGTGTGCGAGCGCTTATGCGTACGTGGTGTGTGCGGTGTGCGTGTGCGTGTGCGTGGTGGTGTGCGTGTGCGTGTGGTCGTGTGCGTGTGCGTGTGCGTGTGCGTGTGCGTGTGCCTGGTGTGTGCGCGTGTGTGTGCGGTTGTGTGTGCGTGTGCGTGTGTGTGTGTGTGTGCGTGTGTGTGTGCGTGTGCGTGTGCGCGCGCGTGTGTGTGTGTGCGTGTGTGTGCGAGCGCTCATGCGTACGTGTGCGTGTGTGTGAGCTACCGATTTGCGCCGTTTGCATGAAAATAATGAACTATAAAATTCGTCTCTGCACGATTAAAATGTTGAGTCACGTGATCGATCGCGTGCTATATCATCAAACAGGTTTGTCATCGTATACGCGTCATTAACGAAACTAAACCTCCGCATGTTATTGATTTATTATCCGTCGATAATATTTCACAATAGAAAGGCGTAATACTTAAACAACGAACATGTTTGAGTATGAATTCCTGGAGCAACACAATTAAACAGATCCGTAGCAACCATGGCAGTGTACAACCGTGCTAGCGAATTTGTCTGTACGCATGCAACATTAGTATCAACCGCGATGTTGCCGACTTCAGTCATGTTCCAGTCGCTGTTCGTATAGGAATGTTTGTTTTAAGTCATTCGGCAAGAAAGACAATGATGTTATCGGTGAGCGAAGTGATGAAGTGATGAACGTGTTCATATCGATGCATTGAATTTATCTATCCATACAGTCAACCGTATACCGAACAATCCATCCATCCATCTATTCATCACCCATCCATCCATCCATCCATCCATCCATCCATCCATCCATCCATCCATCCATCCATACCATCGCATCCATCCAATTCCATCGCATCCATCCATCCATTCCGTTCATCCATCCATCATACATCATCCATCCATTCCATTCCAATCCATGCCATCCATCCATGCCAATCCATCCATCCTCCATCATCATTCATCCATCATCCATACATCAACAATCATCGATCGCATTCCATGCCATGCCATCCATCATCCATCCATCACCATCCTATCCTCCACCAGCCATCCATGCGCACCATCCTAAACGCAATATTGTCCGTCCGTCCGTCTGCGCAGTCCCATCAATTTGTATCGTCCAATCTCATTCTAATTCCACTGTTTTAGTTAACTTATTTAGAGGATGTATCACTAACCCTTTAGTATCGTATTTTGTAGATTGACAGTCGAGTTGACATAAAAAAAGGCATGCTTTTAATCAGGAATGAATATATATATTATATCTAGATAATAATCTATATTATGGCAGTCGCTGTCTTAATTGCATGTGTTCCTA